TTTTGCAATATAAATGCAATAATACCATCCTATGCAAAGTAGCATTGACTTTGACAACTTTGACTTTACAAACGTTACAGTAATAATAAACCAACAGTAGGTTTAAATCTTACCGTGACATAATCGTAAATATATTCTAAAGACCTTTTACAGTACATATTTCTGTAGGGAAACCCCGTCAGTTCTACTTTTCACAGAAACGGCGAAAACGACACACGTTTTACCGCAATGTAACCGCAAAGGGTTCTCGTGTAAAAGTAAAAAATATATATTTTCCTTCATGACGCTAATACAGTAAGTGTAACTGAAGAGCTCTTGTGATGGTGGATAAACACTGACTGTAAGGAAGGGATCTGGATGGAAACAGGTATTTTCTGTACAAGTTAATTTCAGAACAGTCTGAACAAACTTAAGTAGAGAATTCCATATAACTCAAAAATATTTTAAACTGCGTAACTGAATAATACAACAATAACACAGGGAATATGTTCACATTAGCTTCCGGAGAAAGGGAAATCCCCGAGAATTGTGTATAGGGAAATTTCTTCACGGCGAGCCTGAAACACTTACTGAGTCTGATCATATGACACGTTAAATATTAACAAGAACAAAGTCAGTGCCTCAGAGGGACATACCGTGTGCATTCAGTCACCAAAGTGAGGTTAACTTATTTCTATGGAAGCCCGTTTCCGCCAGGAAGTAAAAAACGCGCTATAGTATGGAGATATGAAGTCGCAATTCTGAGTTTTCAAGTCGTAATTCTGTGATACGAAGTCGAAATTCTGAGATACTAAGTCGCAATTGCGAGATACTATAGCGCGTTTTTTTTCTACTCCCTGGCGGAAACGGGCTTCCATCTATTTCAGCCAGGGTGTAATGAAGACATCTCTGGATAATGTGAGAGTTGTGCTGTGCAGTTCTGTGGTGAGCTTTCAATATTGTAGCGCTTTCGGGTTCAGGGGGTTATGCGCCCCCCCACCAGTGGGAACTCGAACGCGGGCCTCCGGCGTCACTCAACAGGGGACCAGCCAGCTGAGCTAAAGGGGAGATCTCTCAGCCTGAGGTCCCTGCTTTTCACAGGGAAGGGGCGATGACATCACCTAGCTGGCAAGCCAACTCGCGCAACCTGTAATGTCGGCTGTATCCGTTACACTCTCTCCCCCTTAATTTTCCATCCTCAGCAAAGGGCTATCTCATCCCACTACTGACACCAATGTAGCGCGTTCGGGTTCATGTGGGTATGCGCCCATGGGAGATCTCCCTTTAGCTCAGTTGGCTGGTCCCCTGTTGAGTGACGCCGGAGGCCTGGGTTCGAGTCCCAGGCAGTGGGGGGGCTGACCCGAGGCTGCAGTGATGAGGGTGCATACCCACTAGAACCCGAAAGTGCTACAATATACTGAATGCACTGCACTGTACGTATCGTACATCAGAATGTGCACATTGCGAACTGGGCTGTGCAATCAGCAATGCCTCCCACAGAGAGCAGAGAGCCTTGAGGAACCTTGGGTAGGGGGCGAGCTCCTTCTGGGCGGGCTTTCCAGTGGAGCACCGGCTCAGCGTCAGATCCACTGCCTGTTGCTGCGCCATTTCCGACAGGGCCACCCCCAGCGGCCCCTCCAGGGCCGTGGCCGCGGCGCTC